GTAACTCGGTGTTCAGAAGTTCAAGCGCTCTGTATAAAGCCTGTAGATTATTAATTCAATTTTTGATGCAGTCTATGACTGCACCGCCTAGGTATCCGGCAGTGAAACAATACAGTGGTGTAACTCTTCCTGAACTTTAACAGTTGCCACTGAAGTGAAACCGAATAATCTAAAAAACTTGGCCTTAAATATTCATTGATATGTTGCTGTTAGAGATTCGGTATTTTTACCTACGTAATGACAATGCAATTGACTGTCTATGTATCCATCCTTTCATTGAGAAGCAAAGAAACGGAACAAATGGTAGATCGGGAGCAAACCTTAGAAAAATACAGCGCTACTTGCATCAGTGTTTAGGTACACATTTATCAATGATTATTTAATGCACGAGAACTAAGGTGGGGCGCAACTGAATGTATTTTAATACGAAATTACAGATCTTTGTATAATACTCCATTTGAAAATCTCCATCATTTATCCTTCCCATTCTGTATGATTCTTTCCATTCATAATTATTTTCTAATTTTGTTCCTGTTCTCTTCAAGTCAACTTTGATAGAGTTCTGCTGCCAGGTTTTCCACCTCCAATTGGTGTTACATACTACTTATGTCTGTCGACATAAGTAGAATACACCACAATATGTTTATATTAGTGTTATATCAGTTTTCTTTATTATAACTGTGACTACTCGTACTTATCTCCCGAAGTTCCCTTGTCATGTGTTATAAAGGAATGACAGACAGACATAAAAAGTACCAGTACTTTTTATATTATGGCAATGGATTTCTTATGTTCATTATTTTAATAAAAGCTATCACTTCAAAATGCTTTATATCACCGAGTTAAAATAGTTTTAGTAATATATTGTCGAAACCATACTGCCCCTCGAAAGTGAGCAGTAATGAAGATAATCTTCATATTTTTATCGTTTATGAGTAGTCAGTGCGTAGACAAATCATTAAAATCAATCATGAAAGTTCAGTGCACCTGATGAAGTTGTTTACCCTATGAATTTCTGAATGTTTATTACCTGCTTCTATTATCTTTATGAAAGCTGCCTTATGCAACAAAAACTCATTAATTTACAGCATGATGCATATATGTATCGACCCTTTATTTGGTCACAAATATGTTATACCATTTTCACAATTATGTAGATGAAGTCCCTGAAATTTCAAGCCGTTTATATAACAGGAAAGTGTCAAGTATTTAATGGACCAGTAAAAACATGATGTAACTGAAAGTTTATCTTGAACAAGTCGTAATGGATGATTTCCTGGTAAATTATCCCCAGTTCACAATATACTTCAGGTCTTTTAAGCTTTTCATATCGTTTTGGTTTCACACTATATTTTATTACCTGAATTAGGACACAACAATTATTTTGTTTTACCATTCCTAAGCAATGTAATTTTTAAACGGAAGTTTACTTTACAAAGCTACTCTTTAGATGAATTCTGTCTTCGAATTTTTAATCAAAAGGCCAAAAGATGATTTTGATTGTGACAGAAATATAATTAAATTCTATTCTTCTTCGATTTTCATTAAACCAATGATGAACACACAGGTGACAAATAACTCTTTGCAATATACGAATTAATAGTGTTAAATTGGTAATTTAACTCTGTTCAAATTCCTACATACTTTATATTACATAATCAGCTGATGAAATCATTGTATTGTTAAGAAATTTTATTAAAATAACAGTCAGTAAGAGTTAAGGGAAATATATTTATAGCAATTCTCTTGCATTTTTATTTTTAAAAAATCAAAAATGGCATTTTAGTTAACAAAAAAAAGACTCGACGAAAATGTCAAGTCTCTATGCTGGTTAAAAAATAAACTCAGTTGTCAGGTATTTAAAACGTGTTTATAAATAAATCCTATTCCTATATATATATATATATATATATATATATATATATATATATATATATATCACTATCATTTTGAGCATACGCCACAACCTATATTTAACTGAACTAATTAATCACTCACAGATTTCTATAATATTGGTAAACATATCTAACGTTACTTATATCTAACGACCGAAACCTGTTGCACAATTCAATTAATCGAAGTGTTTCCTTTAGTAACTAAAGTAATTTGGCTTATCCATGTAAAAAGATTTATCATTAAAATACACCTCTGACTCGAACAAACAGTTGTTATCAAAGAATAAAATAATTCAAAAAAATACTTGTTAGCTGAACTGTTGGTTTATTAATTTTACCAATATTTCAGTTAAACTAAGTGAAATATAAGGACTGTCGTCTAAATTTGAATGAAAAGTTTCACAGTTTTTGGATACTGATACATCAAGGATTTCCATGAAAAAGCTTCGACCAGTTTGTTGACCGAAACGTTGAATTTATTTTAAATTCAATCTATGAGATTTTGTAAATATATTCTTCTTTCTTAAATGATATAGTTGGATGTTTACTCAAACGGTCAAATTTATGAAATGGAAAAAAAATTTCTTCAAAAGACACTAGTTTATCAAACTTGGATAAATCTTACCTATCAGCCTTTTTTTGTTTTATTTTTGTTGATGTAACAAAACAAACATCAGCTATATCTGATTGAAACATTTGATTGAAAAGTAACGCCTGAATCAATTGCCTTGTTTAAATGTATGTTGTTAAGCAAACATAGTTATTAACAATATCTACAAACAATTTAATGTCCTGAAAGAGTGTGTTATATATATAAGTAAAGTTACTTATCATTTAGTTGTTTGTTTTTCTGGTCATTCGAATAATTCAAAAACTGACACTTAAATTGAAAGTCATTTGAGTAAACAACAACGTGAATGAAGGAATATAAAAAGAGAGATGAAAATTACAAAAATAAAGTTATCGTCATATGTGTGTAAAATTTGTTTATACAAGTGTCTTTTAGATGGTCATTTTTTAATGAAATAGAAAATGGGTTTTAGTTTATGCTGAAGTAAAAAGTTCCAATCATGCTTAAAATGATGAAGTTATTCTGATATTTTTGGTCTGAGTGATTCATTACTCATACTCATACTTGTAAACAGCTAATTTGGTAGATTTAGCATTATTATCGTAATTCGTGAACAAGTTTTCCAAGAAATAAATGTTATTATGTCATATGCAGTCCGTTTTATTTTATTACACCACTGTACATGACGACAACCTCGTTGAAACTAATTTTTGTAAGTATATCACTAATTGAAACAAGATTGAAGTTTGATTTGAATAGGAAAGTTCAAATTTTATTGTTAGTGGAATATAATACTGGTATTTTGTTAAATAAAGTTATGATAATACGAGGGAAGGATTTCGATGAAGGCACGTTTAAGTTACTCACGTCCTCTTTTTAAACTGATGTAATTATAACTTAAGTAAATCGCCTTTTGTGTTTGACAAAGCTCAAATTAGGAAGGCTTAATAAAGTTACCACATTTAAAAAAAGTCATTTTATTGCTTCAAACGACTGCAACATATGTATTCGGATTTGGTCAATAAAAGGACTAATTTTGCGATCATATAAGTAGTTGCATATGACGCCACTTTGTGTGTTACCCTAAGTTTATAGGGATGGTCTAAACAGATCCAGTTTGATTTTCATAAACTAATTTATCTATATAGAAACACTTAACTGAAGAAAGATATTGGAAAATAAAACGATTATTCCTTTCTTAACACACATAAGTATATAAACTAAAACACTTTTAAAATTCTGATCTAAATTTTGTTCTAATTTATATATGTTGTAATTTTAAAGTGAACATTGAACACAAACATTATACTGCTTATAACTTCTTTGAAATCACAGAAACAGTAGGCGTTCGATTGTAAATTATGGTGCAGCATTACGGATTAGTAATTAAAAACATCAGCGATGCTATAAATTTGATTAAAATCATGAACTGATCAACGTTAGACCACTGTTGAAACCCTGATGGCACTGGAAGGCCATTTTGTTCCCGTGTGTCACTTCTCAACAATACAAATAAACGATTCTGCGCATGGGACTGAAACCTCAAGGCCCCTAGACCACTGATCTGGAATCCAAGGGAATTCATGCCTTACTTCAATAAATTTACGACATCATGCGATCGTTTTCCATTGTTTTCACGCGGTCACTACCTCACACCCGTCACGGATTAGGTCCACCATAGGATGACGGATCAATAATTTAGTGGTTAAGAATTCGAGAGCAAGACCAAAGATCCTATGTTTGAGTAGTGAATGGGCACTGCTGAAAATTGTCATCGTAAGACAAAACTGTCCGTCCAGTGCTTCCATTTTTTTAATAGTGATCTAACATTGATTGGTTCATGATTTCAATGACATTCAAAAATGTCCATAACCCATTACTGATACTATAAATTACAACTTAAGGACAAATTTAAGGTTGTATCAGCAAAATTAACAATAAGTGAATTTTATATAGTTGAAATCATGAGTCAATTGAATTTAGACCACCTTGGAAAACCTGGAAACACTACTTGACGGCCGCTTCGTCCTATTGTGGGACTCCTCAACAGTGCGCATCCACGATCCCGTCTCGCGAGATTTCAACCCAGAACTTATCAGTTTCCGCGCGAGCGCTTAACCTCTAGACCGCTGAGCTGGCCGGCATCCGACGGTGTTAATATCTAACTTCAACCAATCCACAAAATTGAGCAACCGTGGTCTAGCTTCAATGTACTCGTGATCTCAACTACATAAAATTACTAAAATCTCCACAAAACCTCTTTCTAATAAGTGAATTATTAGTGTTCAGTTAAGGTTTCTAGTACAATTAGTCATAATCTATTGTACATATACATCACGTAAGCGTTTTATAATCATCGAATATTCAATTAAAGAATACATTTGCCTCAAAAAATAACAAATCCACTAAACTAATAATAATAATATTTTTTTCTTGGTTTATATATACACCAATCATATTTTATTATTTCAATAAATATTATGATTGGTTATTTTAAAAAACTCATTATTTTGGTTTAATAATTTAAAAACAGTAAATGATTTAATAATTTAGAATTTTATAAAAATTTTTACAAATTACACTAAAATTTATCAAGATTTCATTGAGTAAAAAAATATTTTTTTGTTTCTGAGGAAAAAAATTAAATTTTCTTTCATATAATAATATCTAACTGGATTATTACATAATAATGAATGTTTTATTAGATTTTATATATAAGTAAGCAAATTTGAATATTGATTTTATATGTTTATTTTGTAAATATAAAAAAAAGAAAAAAAACATTTTTAATAATTTCAAATTTATAATTATGGATATTCTTCTAGAAAAAAAACAACAACAAGGAACTGGGCATGTATATTATAATTTAAATATTTCATTTCCGGTTGTTTTATAGTAAAACATGATAGTAAACAGAAATAGGTTTTTTGAATAGATTTACTATTATAATAGATAGTTTTATTAAAGTTTAAAATTGTAGATTGTCTCTATATTTCGACTAAAACACTGTTAAATTCCTTCTTACTGCATAGAAATGGTACAAGACAGAAGTGGTTAAAATCTCTTACGTCTTTGAAAACATTTCTAATTTTTACTGGTTTCTCAATAAAATATTTCATAATTATAAATTCAGTTAATATACTTTTGAAAGTTTATTGAAGTACTTATGGAGTTCTATGGAGTAGAAATGACCTTTTTTCATGTTCAATGGCTTTTAGATTTTATATAGTTGAAATCATGAGTCGATTGAAGTTAGACCACTATGGAAAACCTGGAAGCACTGGACCGCCGTTTCGTCCTGTTGTGGGACTCCCATTTTAAAATAATCTTATTGTACGAAAGCAATAACACAAAACTGAGACATTCACATTTGTACACAAAAGTAAATATGACTGATCACATACTTATCTAAATAAAAAGACAGATGATATAATTTCGTCGTATTCTTCTATGTAGGCTTGTAATTTACTTAATTAGGGGTTGAGAAGTAGCCAGCGCAGTTGGAAGTTAGTAAATTAGTTTTCAATTAAAGAAACAAATTGAAATATATAAGGGTTTGATTTAGTTTTTAATATTAGAACGCTGTCTTTAGTGGTTTCTAAATTCTCTGCTGCTTAGTCACCCTATTAAATAAATGCATGACTCTCAGTTTTTTCCTCTCGGTCAGTGCCCGATAATTTCTTTCATATTTTTTTAGAAACAATCGTCAAGTATATATTTCAACATGTTGTATACTTCACATTTCACCATCCAACATGAATTCTGTCCACGTAATGATTTACTGCTTATATAACATAAGTTACAAGAACTAGTATAATGCCCGGTCCAACAGATGAATTGCAAATGTGAATTTATCATTAGACTTTAAACATACTATAATATGAATGAATGAAGCCAATATCATTAGATAATAATGATAAATACTTATGACTTGTAGAATATATAAGATAGAGATATTGTTCATTGATCATCTATATTATAATCGCATACAATTCACTTTAATTAAATGCTATTAATCTATATTTGCTAATATTCCATATTAGATTTAATTTAAAGATATTTGAAAATTGGGAATTTATTTTTGTCGAGTAATTAGGTTAATTTGTTTTTCTTATTTATTTTAAATTCAGGCTCAAACTGGTATTATATAAACAGTTAACAATGAATAAATATGCAATAACTACATAAATTATTGAAAATATATTGTTATTCAGCTAAATGTAAATAATATACGCTATGGTGTTGCTTCGGTGAATGGAAATTTTACTTCCGTCCTATTTCTTTGTCCTTGAATTTTACTGATAGAACACTTTTAGGTCAGTGGATCTTCTTCCACAAAACTAAAACCTATGAAATTTACCAACTATTTAATCTGATTCTAAACAATCTTACTTAGGTACATTTAATGATCTTTTTATTGAGTATTACATAGTGATGATGGCATAAGATAGAAAATAATTTTCAACTATTTTAACCAAAGAAGTATTTTCTTATGGAATAGTAATCACAGAATAATCTTGAATAAATGATTTGAAGATTTATCTCAGCAATGATTATCTGTTTGAATACAAAATTTGCACGATTCAAACAAAACCTAAAATTTATGTACCGTATTTACCTAATTGCATAGACAAAAAAAGGAAAAACATGAAATAAAATTCCCATATTGTGATTTAGAACAACATATATAAGCGAACAATATTGTTTTCGATTAGATTCTCATCAGGCTTTACTGAGTGTAAATAATTTAATTTTCCATACTCTTTCTTCGTTGTTTTTTCTTCACCCCCTTTCTACCGATTATTTATTAATTTTTTCAAATATACGTTTCACGGTCCAACTATCTGAACACTTGTTATTACGTAATCTTATAATTTTTATGAATGTTATTTCAGTGTCTATATTTTTTTTTAATTATTTCCCATTATATAACATTGATTCAAGCCTTTATTATTCTTATCACAACTAGTACACTTGTCATCATATTACCAATTTGTACTTTCCACTTATTATATTTAGTTATGTAATCTATTTCACTGTTATCATTGACTCATAAAATGTCATGATTGGTTTACTAATTTCGTATATGCATACAAGATGGTGGTTGGAGGTGGTCAACAGGAAACCATCTTATCTCAACACAATGCACGCAGTGTCGAGCCACCTAGACTAATGGTCACATTGCAACTTGATCGATAGCATTCGATCAGCACTAAGAAGGAATTGACACGCATGGCATCGTTCACCGCCCAGTGATCAATCAATTGTGTATATGCATATAAATATTACTGTATATTAGAATAAAGCCCGATGAGGATCTAATCGGAAACAATATTGTTCGCTTATATATGTTGTTCTAGGGGAAATAAAATGACTTGCTTCACTATGGTTTAAAATTGTGATTACAGTTTACTAATAAATCAGTGAAAGACAGTTATACACATTAGTCTTTAGGTTGAATATATATTTACCTAAAATTGATTAAGCGTAATCTGATAACTATGTAGAGTGTTTACGAATTCACGTTTGAGAGTAAACTTCCATTATAAACTGGTATCAATCAAAGAAGCATTAATAACCAGGGAGCAATATACGCCTTCTTTATACGAATTTGATTGTATCTGTGGTGATAATATAAGATTCCACATTTAAATGAACTCAAATCACTAACGTTTAATATTTGGCAAGACAGATTTGGCCAATAAGTTACCCTTGAGTAAAATTTTCAATTTGGGCAAGGTTTAAAATGAGTAAATAGATATCTAATGGATCATTACTAAATTATTCTGCCAGTCACCTAAATACGTCTTTTCTATCTCACGTTTTTAACACAATTGAGTCAATTCAGCATAGAGTTTTCATTTATGGTGTGGATTTAAAAAATTGTCTTATGGACTTGGTATCGCAAACAATCTTACACAACCAATTCGAGTGATATTCTTATGAAACATCACCTTCTAAGTGATCTGATTTCTTTCAAACGGTAAGGTGAAATATAGAAATTTTAAGTGACATTCAAGATAAGAATTGTTAACTACAACCAATAACAATCGATCTGTTGAAAATAAAATTTCAAACATTTTTTGGTTTTTCTCCTTTACTATTTATCTGATGTCTACTAAGTTTTGTAAAACTAATTCCTATATATCCGATTATTTCTAGTTGAGCAATAAGGCATAGCAATAAGAGCAAATTTAAAATTCATAACATTCGGAAAAGAGAAAATTATTTCATCGAAATTAAATATTCATGCAGAACTCCAGAAAAAAAACTTTTTTTTCCTAATTTTTATGTTAACAATTTGATGAATTTATATCCAACAATCAGACGGAATTAATGTCTCATGTGTGTTTTTCGCATGAAAGTAAAACAACAACTAAGAATAATACCGAGAGAAAATACTTTTATTCCTTTTTCATTGTATATAACAAATAGCAAATCTCTTCTTTTGTTGTTTTTGAGTGTCCTAAATGTAACATCTTGTATCTGGCTTAACTACCATAATATTATTTTGTCGAATCAATAAAGTTTGTCAGTAAACTGTTGGGTTTTCAAGTATGATATGCATTTCATTTAAAATTACTTCACACTATTGTTGACAATTTAATGTTATAATCATTTTTATGAATAATTTGTCTGGATCACTCAATAGTTATTTCCAATATTGAGTGAAGAATCTAACAACTAAATTGATTAATTTTCTTTGATCTTCATACCTTGATCATCTCTGTAATTTGAATCAGTTCAGTGGGTTTTTATTTTTCAATAATTAGAATAAATTGCAAATATTTTTTTCGGTGTTTTTGTCTTTACTATTAGGCATTTCACTTATCATATATGTACTATTTTACTAAGTATAACAAATTGTGACATAAACAAACGTTAAATGTTAGTAATTATATCTGTCGCTGTGCCACGAAGAAGTCAGCCATTGTAACTATGAAAAAAAAAGTTTGATTTAGGAGGAACTGTATTTCAAGTTACAAAATTCAGTTTCCCCAGATTTTTAATATCGACCTAATGAAAGCTATTTATGAACAGGAGTTATCCTATTTACCTATATAAGTGAAAGAAAATAAAATCATGTAAGATATTAACAGAGTTCAAAGCATTTACTTTAGATAACTAACGGTAATGTTGCAGATGTCTTAAATATCCTTAATACACAGATTAGGGTGTCAACTGTCAACATTCTTCTGGCTCTCTTGTCTGTGAAAATATAATTTCTCTCAGCTCGTCACTAGTTTTTGTGGTGATTGGCATTTATAATGTAATCAGCAAATAATAGTGTAGAACATTTATAAATTTTTTCGTACGCTTCGAAATCCATTCAACTTTGAAGCAATAAAAATATGTGGATATTCAAAAAATTATTTTATAGTCCAACCTCACATCAATGAGACCTTCTATATTTACACTATAAATCAATGTGAATAACACATACCGATCAGTCATTTCATAAATAATTTTAAAATCATAGCAAATTTAAGGAAATCTTCACTTTTATATCGTTTATTTACATATTTAATTGTCAATTGATTAGACTTTGGTAAGCGTCTTAACAGTCATTTACACTATGAAGTGGAAATTTTGATCGGAGTGCATGAAACGTTCTTGTATACCGATCATCAGCAAGTATCTACGATGTATATTGCACTTTTATTGTTATCAAAATAGTCGATCTTTGGCTTAACTCTCGACACAAATACGATCCATAT